CTAAGGTAATTTTCCAAATATAATGCGGTTTTACTAGGATTGGTAAAATCTATGTCTAACAAATTTGAGAAATAGTTGTAGTCGGATAAGGTTCTGTTTATTGGCGCGTTCGCACCATAAGCCGTTCTGCTTAACCCAACCTTGAAGACATCAAAGCGACGCAAATTACGACTCGGAACATAAAAATGGATTCTCTCAAGTAGGGACGCACAATCAATTTTTCCCGAGACAATACTCAATAAAAACGAGATAGCATGACAAGTTCTCCGATTGTGCAGAGTAGGTAAACTAATTAGCCGACAACGGGAGACATAAGATGGCAATGGTTCAGTAAAATTCAAGGAACGTAAGGCAAAGCGTATAAATACCTTCTGCACCTTTTCCAAACGATTGATATGAACTGCGTGACTCGGTCTCCAAATAAAGGCAGCGTATTCCAATTGGGACGCACAAACGCAGTATATAGCATCTTAATAGTATAAGGGTCAGTAAACTCGGAAGAATGACGTCTAACGAATGCCATCATGGCAAATGAATCAGCAATAGTTTTGTTTATGTGCAGAGTGAAAGTGAGTTTTGAGTCGAAGTGTACTCCAAGATCTTTAGTCTCACTTTTCGAGTCAAGGACAATATCTGCGATGGAGTAAGATGTCGTAAGAGGTACTTTTGATTTATAATAGGATACTTTGTGGCATTTATTGATGTTGAGGGTAAGCCGATTCTGAACAAACCACGTATAAAACTTGTTAAGCTGCGATTGAAGTTCGGCCGAGTCTTGTGAGCAACTGATTTCCGAATATATTTTCAGATCATCGGCAAACAAGAGATACCTAACATTTGAAAGACAGGAGCTAATGTCGTTAATGAAAAGAATAAAAAATAATGGGCCTAAGATGCTTTCCTGAGGAACCCCTGAGAGAGCAATAAATGGCTTGGACGAAACACCATCAATAGTCACCTTGCTAGTTCTCAAACGCAAGTAGGACCTGATCCACTCCAAGAAACCTGAGTGGATTCCTAAACATTCTAACTTTGTTAATAAGATATTGTGGGAGCATTTGTCGAAGGCACTCGAAAAATCTGTGTAAATCACATCCAGTTGAAAGCCATTACGGAAAGTTGAAAAGCAATCATCGGTAAAAACTGCAAGATTTGTCACCGTGGGTCTACCAGATACAAAGCCATGTTGGTTTGGGCAGATCAAGTGCTTGACAATAAAATAAAGTTTGTATGAACTATTTCATTTCGATTGCTGCAGAAGAGAATTCTACGTAGTGAGGGTTATAATCCCTAAGTGCGGCCGAAGGCCGCCTACGCAGAAAGGTGTTCTCTACAAAAGGTGTTCAGCCCCCTTTCTTTGGCAACACAGAAGAGAATTCTACGTAGTGAGGTTTATAATCCCTAAGTGCGGCCCAAGGCCGCCTACGCAGAAAGGTGTTCTCTGCAAAAGGTGTTCAGCCCCCTTTCTTTGGAAACACAGAAGAAAATTCTACGTAGTGAGGGTTATAATCCCTAAGTGCGGCCGAAGGCCGCCTACGAAAAAGAAGTTCTATACTAGAAAATACTATCATATTACTATTACTACAACATTTCTATCTGTAGCTTTTTTCTTAATTTCACAATATTTTTAGTTAATTTTTTTTTTTCTTTTTTTTTTTTTTAGTTAATTTTTTTTTTCAAATCGCCTGATAACCATCTTGGGATAATTTATTTTATTGAAAAATCCCACGGTTTTCGTTAGTTGGGTTATATTCCACTTCAAACTGCTCAGTTTGCCTCGGAAAATGCCGTTCTTACCCCATTTTCAAACGGTTCCCTAGGGGTCTGTGGGAGGTCCCCAAAGGGGGGTGGGGCTTTTCGTAAAGTGGCGACTGTCCCCTTTCGAATGAGGGGGGTTTGGGGGGCCACGCCCTCTCCCCCTCCGCCCCCACCCCAAAAACGATGGGCCAATAACTAAACATTTCCCATGGATTTTACGCAAAAATACTGTGGATTGTGAAAATAATAATTTTACTCTATTTCGAAATGGGCCCCCCCCGAGTGCCTGTAGAAAAGGCAGGGAGGCGAAGGATGACTTATTGCAAGTTTATACTGCGCTCTTTCTAATGACTGGAGTTTTAGATGCCACACTTCCCCCTCCGCTTCCGACGAAATATCATTTCCCACGCACAACAATTAAATCCTCTGATGTATTGTTTGATTCCTGTAAATGTGGCAAGGTAGCTCATAATTTTGTACAATTTATGAAACTTCAAAAACTTATTTCATGTCAAATATTTTGGAATGAAACTACCTTCTTTTTGTATCATGGTTTATACAAAGTTCATTCCATAAATGCACTCAATTCTAGACAATAAAAATATCAGAAACGGAATATTTATCTTTTGAATCACCGACACTTTATAAGGGTATAGTGTAATACAGACCGCTTCTGGATAATTCAGTATCCGTTTAACTTTCGAAGCTTAGCACTTATTAATCAGATTCCAAATTAATCTGTTTCTATACTTACGTTCGCGTTTTACACTAACTTGACCAAGGGGCACTTGGCTAATAATAAAAATTGAGAGCGACCGACAATAGCGATTAGAAAATCTTAGAAGTTTACGACGTTTGGGCAATTATCTGTGCAAAAACAGCTGATATTTAGGCACCGAGGCCAATAGTAGTAATTGCTTATTTTTGTACACTCTAAAACAATTGCAACTCCCAGTAAACAGTAGTACAGTTAAGAATTACTAGGCCACACAAGTAGTACACTTGCACTTTCAAATACGTTAATATGTGCATGCGGTATACACGGTTTCTACAAAATGAATTTATGAACTTTGATTTGCTTTATTTGGTTTTAGATTACGTGCATAGAGCTGTGTTCATATTGATAAAAGCAATTAGTGCATATACAAGGCGAATTCATGCCCTAAAGCTCAGTTAGTATAGACTTATGGGTCGATTACGGATAGCAACGCAACCACGGTCCGGTTGCCAGCTGGCAACGCAACTGAAAAGATAATTTGTATTACGAATGGCAACTATCGTCAGTTGCTGTAGAGTTATCGATAATCGAAATTTGACAGTTCGACGACCAACAAGCGGCTGTAAACTAGCTGTGCGAGTAAAATTAAATTATTAAAATAAAAAGTTTTAAAGAAAAGACAGCAATAAAGCTATGTTCATCACAATTATTTGTATAAGAGGAAGAGAAGTGCATGAACGCGGCCTCAATCAGGCGACATTTAATAGGGCATTCGCACGAGGCGATTTTATAGGGCATTCGCACAAGACGATTTTACAGGCAATAAAAAAGAATACGTAGTTGAATGAGAAGTTGAAAGTGAAAAAGTTGCCATCCCTATTCAGACAAGGCGATTTTGGATTCAACACGTATCGTTATTTACATTATTGCAAATGAATTTAAATCGGAAAATTTTATTAATTGGCGTAAATTTGGTAAGCCAAGCGTTGGTAGAAGTGCTTTTAGCCAAGCTGAAAGATAAAATAAGAGTAAAAAAGTAAAAAAGAAAAAAAAGTATGTATACAGAACAGTGTTGGCATTTTTGGTACAATTGTACTTGTTTGATACAATTTCATTTACAACATACTTTCCTACTACGCAGTACTTTTTAGTAAAATTTTGTAATGAATACTAAAAATACATACATAGCTCTGAAAATTCACAGTTCGTCTGTTCGTATTTACCTTTGTAAGTTTTGAAAAATGGCTTGAACGAACCAGTATAACATAGTCTAGGCAAATTTTTAAAGAAACTTCTCGATACTAAGAATTATTATTAAACAAAATGTCAAAGTCAGCTTTATATAGAAACAAAGTCTTCGTTAGTTATAAGAAGAGATTTTCTTAAATATAATACCTTTACGGCACTCACATATTGACAAGGTTTTACTATTTATTTTATTATTCTTTAATTTTAATTATCTGTATATAAACTATAATGTGTTCTTTAAGGAAAACTGTATAAACCCAAGATTAAATCATTGCGAAACATCCAAAAACCAACATACTGTCGTAAAAATTTCGAGCTTTATTAATATTCTTTAGTTTTTAGCCCATTCAATTTTAGTATAATAAAGTGCAAGTTTAAAGTAGCTGGGACTTACCGTTGAACTTGGCAATTTTGTTTTGTCGACGATGTCAGCCATTTTCTTCCATACGAAGTGTGTTCGACGATTTTTTTATATGGAGGAAATTAGCAACACCTTCATCAAAGAAATCTTAAAAAACTTAGTTATATTAAAATTTAATGGGCTAAAAAACCACACACTCAAAATAAATCTAGGAAATCGAATTAAATAGATCGAAATTTTTACGAAAGTGTGTTGGTTTTTTTAATGTTGCACAAAGTTTGAACCTTGGATTTGTACGGCTTTTCTTAAAATATAAAGCGTCTTTTTACAAAAAATAATTAAAATTGAATAAAATTAAGATAAATGGTCAAATCTTCTCGTAAAGTTTTGAAAAGCACTTGAAATTCTACTAAAATGTCAAATTTTAGTACTGAATCCAAAGAAAATAGACATTTTTATCCATTAATAATAACTTAAATATGCTTTTTGTTAAGATGTATACCTGAAAATGTGTGCATACATATTTGCGTTAAATGCAATATATGTGCACGTGGAATCAATTTGTAAAAGTGTAAAATACGTAAACGTATGTACATAAACAATTGGGGTGTTCACAGTTCGTACCAAATAGTGTCTCAAAATGTAGACGTCTACATTTTAAGACGTTTTCTAACCGTAAAATCTGTGGTGTTGTTGTTTCCCATACAAAATTGGAAAACGACGCCGTCTACAATTTGTCACACTCAAAGGTATGTTTTTTACGCGTCTACATTTTGCAACCTCGCAGCAGGGTTGCATTATGGCAATACTAATCGCATTTGTTTTATTTATTGGGCACGTTTTCTGTATTTGCATTTAATTTGAGCGCAATTTCTGGTGAAAAGAAACAAATCAATGCAAAGAAATAACAAATATTAGGAATTGGTAATAAAGTTAAATAATTACAATTTTTCAGAACAAAATCGAAAGGCGACATATAAAAAAGCACGCAAAGAAGAAATGTCTAGCAACACCAGCAAAGTTTTGAGACGATTTTGCGACGACTGCTAGAAAGGGGTGCTCACAGTTTGATGCTAAAGATGTCTCAAAATGTAGACGTCTACATTTTCAGACACAATTTGGAACGAACTGTGAACACCCCAAATAAAACTTTCTCATGAATACCATAAAATCATTGGTCTTGAAGGGAATGTACTAAGAAACTATATGAGCGAATTAAAAAGTGTATACAATTTATAGCCGAAAAGTACATTTTTTGTATAGATTTCGTACTGAAGGAACAATTTCATATCCCAACACTGATACAGAATGTAAACAAACACAGGGTTGCAAGGAAAAAAAGTTGATCGAGCTCAAAGTTGGCTGGCGACCAACTTTGTTGAAAGCGATTAGTTGAAAGGCCGTTAGGACGAGGCGATTTTTGCTTTCAACTAAAAGTTGCCTGTAAAATCGCCTCATGTGAATGCCCTATAAAGAATAATTCCATCCACTAGAGCTACCGCGTGCACGAAAGTTAATAGCTTTGTTTCTTAACAGATAATTATCACAAATTATCACTAATTTTTGCTGGAAAGCGTTTTTTAACCCAAAAAACTAGCAGAAACTAGCAGCTCTCTCGCTCTCACGCTCTGCTTTCTTTGGCTCTCCTGCTAATTTCAGCTACTAAAATTTTTACTAGCAGCTGTCAAAATGGATAAACAAAAATTCGCGCCAAATATTTTCAAAAGTCAAATACAACGATCAGCTGATTACTTGCTAGTTTCTGCTAGTTCTGCGTTTCTTTACTTTTTCGTTATTTCGCTCTCTGTGAGCGTAATTCTTTCAATTTTTTCATTCTTCTACTTCCTGATAATTATCTGCTAGAGAAGAAAAGAAACAAAGCCAATGCTTAAAATGATTTGTGTTCATTAGGTGTGTATAGTAACCAATAGTCAGTATTAATTTGTACTGGAACCTGCAAATTTTACTGGAAAAGTGTATGATAACCCAATAAATTTGCAAGAGAGCACTGAATCGAGAGCGTAACAACACGGGAGAGCTGCAAATTCTTGCTAGTGAAATTTCTACTAGCAGAAGAAGAAGAAGAATAAATGTCAAAAGCCGCCATATGTTGAATTTGTTTAGCACAAACAAAAGTAATATTAATGATGTACTGGACTGCGTAAGTGCGTGTGTGTAAAGCAAAGAACTTAAAACTGATTTATAAATAGTAAAATGTTTACAGCAGAATGTCAAAACATTGCAAACTCTGTTCACTTGCAAGTTTTTGCTAGTTTTGTGTTCATTAACTTTTTCTGCTAGTTTTCTCTTCTTCTCAATTTTACGCTCTATTTTGCTTTTACGCTCTCGCTGCAATGTTTTACTGGAGAAGTTACTATACAAACCTAATTTCAAAGCAAGGATCATAAATACAGGTAGAAGCCAAAATGACGCTGCAACACCTGAAGCGTTTATTTATGTGGTTGCGAAAGCAGCTGTGGGGCACAGCTGCAGCGAAATGCCTTGCTGTGCGTTAAACATTTTAAAGCAGCAGATTTTATAAATACACCGGGAGGTACGGGAAAGGCACGTTTGATGTGAAGTGCTGTTAATATGACTATTATGCCGGAAAACCCCTCCAACAACACTGCAACTCATAAATCAAAGACAGAAAACAACAAACAAATTAACAAATTTTAACTAAAAAAAAAATAAATAATTAAAATTAAACTTGAAATTTACTTAAAAACGTCGGGTGGGGTCTAGTAGCGCTCACAACTATTTCGGGCTATTCCGTCCAAGAGGGTGGCCCGCTCAAAAAAAAAAAAAATCCACACACTTGTAGTCAAGGGTCTACGCATTATTTTAACACTCACTTTTGTAAATTTTGGTAAAAGTGCACTTTAGCGAAGGTAGGTCAAAATGGGCGGAAAAAGTTCGAGAGTGGTATCAATCGACGCGTCTTAACCTCAATAATAACAATCCGAGACCAGAAATTAACATTTTTAATTAATTAAAGAGTTATTTGCAAAAAACACTTGCGCTTTCCGCATAATGTTTTGATGAATTTCACGCAAATGAATGGAATAAATTAACTTAATTTAACACGTATTTATTAGTTGTTATACATTTGTGATGTTTTAAGTGTACCCTTTAGCGAAATTCTGTATTTAACAGGAATATTCCGATGGTGAAAATCCGCACAACAATCTTGCGTAGTTAATATAAATAACATGGAGGGAAATTAGTGTTGCCACTCTATTAAAAATAAAATGGAACTAAATTGCTGCTGCCACTGTATTAAACAAGTTTTTGTCCGACCAACTTCTTTTTGCGTAGGCGGCCTTCGGCCGCGCTTAGGGATTATAACCCTCACAACGTAGAATTCTCCTTTCTGTGTTGCCAAAAAAAAGTGGAGAACACCTTTCTGCGTAGGCGGCCTTCGGCCGCGCTTAGGGATTATAACCGTCACAACATAGGACTCTCCTTTCTGCATGCGAAGAAAAGGAACAGAAATCGCCTTTTCACAAAAGTATATTTCTTGTGCATTATTTGGGTGTTTTTAAAGTTGAAATACAAATCGTATTAATAGAGTGGCAGCACTAGTTTTCCTACATCTTACTTATATTAACTACACAAGATTGTTGTGTGGATTTTCACCATCGGAATATTGCTATTAAATACAGAATTTCGCGAAAGTGTACACTTAAAACATCACAAATGTATAAAAACTAATAAATACGTGTTCAATTAAGTTCATTTATTCCATTCATTTGCGTGAAATTCATCAAAACATAATGCGAAAATCGTAAGTGTTTTTTGCAAATAACTATTTAATTAATTAAAAATGTTAATTTCCGGTCTCGGATTGTTATTATTGGC